TTGTCGTGTGATTTTCTTTTTCCAATACTTCCGATACAAATAAAAATATTTTACCTGGTCTGTCAGTTGGTAAGATTATAATTATCACACTGGTAACATATCGTTCTTCTATATCTGTTGCCTTATATATAGACACCCAGATTTTTTTATGAAGTATTTGATTTCTTATATTATTCATCGTATCTTTATTTCAATCATTAACATATGTTTTTTTTCAGTGTAGATACAGATGGTATATCTTTATTTTTGTATTTTTTAAAGAAAGAACGAAGACGAGGATTTCTTAGTTTTTCTAATGGAATATTTGATTTTAAGAATGCTTCACATAAATCCTTAGAAAAATCAGATTTTCGTGTTGGTGTACTAGTAATTAGCTATTGAGTTGTATTTTTATTTTGACGACTAGAAGCTCTTATATGTTTTTCAGTACTTAAGTGATGAGTGACACTAAAAAGTTTTTCACACTTTACCTTTAGCTCGTATATCTTACAAAATAATGCACTTCTGTCGAACGCGAAAATATGTTCACCGAATTCAGTAACATAGTTTTTACCTCTATAAGTCGCTCATATTTTTTACTTTCGGTATTTTAACACAATTTAATAAAAAAAGACGGACACTCGAAATTACCTCACGGAAGACGTCAAACAATATAATCGAGAAATCCAGAACTGACTTCATTATATAATTTTACAAGAAGACGAAAGAATCGTTATCGTAATGGAAAATATTAAAAGTTTAATTATAGGTCATTTAGAAGTAATTTATTTTGGTAATTACATAATATTTGTCTCAAATATGCAGTTAATAACAAAAAAAATTGTAAAATATACGAATTAATAAAAATACCCCAATATACGCAATTATATGTAAAATAAAATGTATTTGAATCTGTATAAGTATAATTCAAATTTGTAGCTGATCTAGCAATTTTTTAGTCCATTCAGTAAAAATATGCAAATGCATATTCCGGGCCTTGTTGATGACCGTCCCATTCATATTTATACTAATAAAGACGAATCTGTCAAACGCTTTCGGGGTTTTTTTTTTTCATTAACGTAATTTAATACTTTTAAATGTCGATTTTTTTAATTAGCGATCTTTAAAATAATAATTTTAAAAATGCACATAAATATACAATATGTATATAAATTGAAGCTGTACTTATAATTCTTATTTAAACTCGACGTAAAAATATAAGACATTAGGAGAACAACATAGACACCGATGGACCGATATTGATAAAGCGCGGCGCTAATAACCTCTTCAAATTAGTTACTATGAAAACTTTGCTCAAGTCGCGATAATTTAATCTCAACTAACCTAATCTAACTTCAAAATCCTAATCTTCAAAATTTTCAAATAAAGAGTCATGAAAATAAAGTCTAAATGTAAAATATTTACCGACATCTGTTAAATACGTTGCATTGGACTTGATACTCAAAATTCCATATAATTTGACACAATATTTTTCCCTTTTCACATTTGATGAGAAAACTCAGGGGTTTTGTGAGAAAATCGAAAAATGACCTTTTTAAAGTACCTCTCCATACCTAATTCCTTTCTGAAAAGGTACTACATTTAAAAATCGTTTTTGAAAGTTTTTGGAAGAAAAGTTGAGCACAGATAAACATTACGGTACACCTGACGCGTAGTGCGCACGCTTATGTTGTTAATAAATTATGTTTATATTATAATTAAAATAGCACTAAAACGATTTATATTTCTCGGTGCACCAAGAGGAAAAAAAACCCAATGAAAATACATAGTTTATATTAGCGATAATAACTCACGGTAGTTCGAAAAAGAAATATTTTATAAAGTATATACTAAATAATAAGTTTTTTGAAAACAATATAGTTATATTATGGTACATAAACTCCAGAAAAAAATAATAAAACAAAAAATTGCCTTTTAGTGGATAAAAAATGAGCATAATAATTTATGATCAATAACGACTGTTTTATTTTTTACAAAATTATAATATTAGTATTTTATGAACCGACATTATGCAATTTAATCGAATTAATAATGTTGACGTATTTTATAAAAAGTTCTTTATAATTTTGTTTTTAATATCGAAAGTTTAACGATAAATCACATTTCGTAAAGTCGAAACGAACTGGAGAAACTTTTTACCCTTCGCGATATTATATTAACCTATTTTTAAATAATTTTTTTCTTTTTTTGTTTGTAGCAAATTTAAATGAAAGAAATTTACTTAGTAACAAAATAATTCCAAGAAAAACAAACAGCTGGTACTGCTGCCTGCTAGTAGGCCCGTGACAGCCTATTTTAAAAGGGAAGTTAAATGGGAGTACGTATAATATATTATAGGATAATTTAGTTTATATCTGTACGCAACGATTAATTATTATTAATTATTTCATTAGTAATAACTAATGAAAAACAATTCGGTTATACCTACTTACATATTTTAAAATTCTGTAATTTTCATGATATTTATTATAATTTTAACATTATACAAGTAAAAAAAAAACAATAACTATTTCACCTTCAATTCGTTTACCACTATGTACATCTTAAAATAAACTTTGAGTAAAATTTTAAAATATTTCTGCCCGGCCAAAACCATTTTATTCTCATAATACCAACTATACAAATTTAAAAATATCTGCTTACAAATACTTAATATCTAAAATATAACTAGAATGTTTTGAATATTTGACCACATCTAAAAAATGTGAAGTATTCTGTGAACATTTTAGGTCTCTACAATTATTTGTGATCAATTCAAAACAAAAAACCAAAATAAACTGTAAACTTTCCCGTTTTTCATAAATATTTTCCTAATTATAAAGAAAACTACACCTAATATCAAAAAAACAAAAACTATCTCCTTATGCACCAACTAGATTAAAAAAGCAAAATTATCGTTTTTAATAGAAAAATAATCTGATAAAAAATAGGTATCTATAGAATTATTTTGTCTATATAATACTGCCAAGATAATTCAGTTGTAATATGTAAAGATAAATTATTGTGAACAAAAAATGATTTGACTACTATAAAGTCATGTTTTAAATTTTGTTTTCTCTTAAAGTTACATCGTGGTAATCGATAAAAAAAATCTAAGGACCTAGAATATTTATCATTTCGATAAAAATTATGTTTTATGCATAAAGGATAACCGACTGAAAATTGTGCACCTTTCTTATATTTATCCACCGCGTCGTTTTTTTTCCGAGCTACGAACCGTCATTGAATTACCAAAATTCATCTCGAAGTTATTTGAGCCGAACTAAAAATAAGGAATTTGTACCATCGCAGGTAGTCAAAAATTGTATCTAATAATATTTTTCAGAACGAATGAAATATACCTGTTTATATCTTTGGCACGCGCAAGTACTCGGTCGCCGGGAGATTAAGTTTTAAAAATACTTCCAAGGTGTAAAAAACGCCAACCCAAGATTATATCCTTGAATGATGTTTGCGCCTGAATTAATTTTTTTTTTAGACGTGACGGTTTTTAGTTATCGGACATAATTATGTTTATAGAATTTATATGCACACAAATTACAATAAATTTTAATCTAAAAATTAATCCTCGGCAAACTAATCAGGCGGGAAATAATTTGTCGACGGTTTATCAAAATATTTTTCGATTATAATTATGTTGACAGGTTATTTGCAAAACTTTTTCACTCGCTACAATAAACCTCAATAAAATGTTACAGTCACGTGCATTTTAGCATTTATCTTCATCGTATACGTGTATAAATATAATATTGGTGTTCGGTAATATAATTTTTTTTTCTCTCGCCGTTTTTATCCGTACTACAACGTTGGAGGCACAGACATGGAACATGCGGCTAGACGGCCGGGAGAGAAGAGCAGGAAATAAAATAAAATTCATTATTATTCGTCGTTCCGATGTACTTAATTCCAATATTGACAATAAATACGGACGATGAAACGGCAAACCTAAAGCATTGTCGACGGAAATATGCTCGAATTTGACCGAGTCGGGTAATAATAAAACGAAATAGAGTGAACACAGATGTACTATGGAGAGTAACAAAACGTATATTGTTGTCGTATCGATACACTAGTCCGTGACAGCAGGCTATAATTTGTATTATTATTATTATTATTTTTTTTCTGTATAGATGTCGATTCTCCTCACTTTATAAAGACGTATAAACTAATAACGTATTAGTTGTAAAACACGTTATACGACGACGATAGCATCGCCAAGGTTAAACTGTAGGACACATTATTGCTGTACAGTGCATACCAATATGTCCATGTACCACGTACACCAGTGTTTCCCAAACTTTTTGATAAAACGATTACTACTCTAAAGAAATTATTTCATTAGGTCACAGATAACCTAGATTTACTGAAGGCCTTTATTATTATAAGTGACGTGTTCAGGACTGTTCAATAAGAAAAAATGTATCAATTAAGAATCCTGAAAAATCATAAAATCGTCATCTCTACCCAATTCGTCTAATGGAGTTTGGTAACTTAAAAGTCGAACCCTAAAAAAACCAATTTCTAATCATTACATCAAGCTTTTCCTTGTAGCTTGGCCGAAATATAAACATTTCGTGATATTTCCCCGTTTTTGTCTGTTGTTTTTCAGTTCTTCAAATTTGATGAGAAAAACTCCAAGAAAATTGAAAAACTACCTCTTTAAAGTACCTCACTTTACCGATTTCTTTTTAGAAAAGGTGCTACATTTGAAAATCTGAGCAATATTACTGGTAGAAAAGTGGCGCACAGATAAAAATTAACATTTTTGTAAAACCATAAGCTTCTTTACCTACTCAGAATCTAAAACGCTTTTAGATGATGTACTCAGTATGCACTATCAACATTATTGATACCTAATTTTATCGTTTCTAGAATAAACTTATCAATTTACTAATGAGTACTTTTTTATTTTTTTTTTATTCGGAGAACACTTTTTGAATCAATAAAAATACTCAAATTGTATCATACTACACATTAAATGATACAAATTTTTTACTTGGTGGTACATTTTATTTGAAATGGTTTTTTAATAATTTCTAACAGTTTATTTAAGAAAATAAACAAAAAAACAACCGAAAACTAACGACGGTGTGATATATAGGTTATATTTTTATTCATTCTTGTGAGTACAAAAGGAGCAAATACGGCACTACCACCAAAATATACCTTTCCGGTTTATCAAACGCTGCTCAGAATAATTTTTTTATTGCAATTGTTTGTCATTAATTCCATTAAAATAGTACAAACTAAATTAGCTTTACTGCACACTTTTCGTGTATGTATTTTGTATCAAACTTCTCACCTACACCGTATGATGACCTGCCTGTGGTACGAAGCGTATGTCCGGGTTTTAATTGTTTATTGCACCTATGGAAATATTTTAGTAAACCAGTTTTGTTTTCGAACAAAAATAACGACTTGGTAAAATGATGTAATAAAATAAAATGCGTCAGATAACTTAAGCTCTGGCATCTCCGTCGGCAAGTACCTAACGAGGTATACAAGTTCAGCGGTTTGACCGGTTTTAAAATGAGGTCTATAGTCGTAGACTACCGGAAAAAAAAACATATTTCTATAATCCTCATGTTATGAAATCTCACGACAACAAATCTCGCAGGCACACAAAACATATTATTTAATTAACATAATATAAATATACTAGCTGACCTGGCAAACGTTGTCTTGTCATATAAATTAATAGTTAGATTTCTAATGGATATTTTGGTACTCAAACAAAAAATAACTAAGTTATTGTGTATGGGGATGTGGGACTGAAAGAGGAATAGAGCACTGTGAACGATGACTGCCTATAAACCTATAGCTGATCCCGCCAGGCGTTGGCCGTGCCATTTTTTTTTGTTTCTGAACTATTCCTTTTTGGTTTTGACTGTGTCAGTAACTAGTATTGAATGTAAACAAATAGGTGGAAAGTGGGTAGTCCACCTCCGACGGACTAAACGTGTTTTGTTGTGTCAAGACTATACTAACTACAAAAATGTGAAATGAAAATGATTGTGTGCGTGCGATAACAACCGGACAACCAGGTAGTATTTTACTATTTAATATTGCAAATAATAGCTTCTTCACCGATCTCTCAGTTTTCACATGATTTTTTAGAATATTTATGAAAAAACAAACAAAGAATAAAATTAAAAACATCTACAAATTCAATGACTGTAGTCAGAAACGTTTATTGCACATTAAAAACATTATCAATATAATTGTATTTTAATTTATTTTCATTAATATGGTCAGTTGTATTTCTTTTAAAATATCTTATTGGGGAAAAAAATTTAAATAAAAAATATCTTAGACTTATGAAAATATATAAAAGATATAATAGACTATATTTTATACCACTAAACTATAACATTTCTTGGTAGCTTATATTATCTATTCTTTTGTAGGAGCATATATATATATAATTTTTTTGCCAAACTTACTTGAGAACATGCAACATAAAATTAGCTACATATAATAAAGACTAAACTAGTGTATATATTGTTGGTGAATGCGTGATGCTCGAGATTATTTTCATCCATTGCTTCTCGGAACGCTCGCCAATAAAACACGCAAAAGAAAAAATGGTCAGGTTGCAGGTAGCTGAAACTAATTAACTTAGACAAATGCTATTGCAATAGAAACCCTCTCTGTGATATACTCTTTTGTTTTAAAATAAAATCAAGAAGATCTTATAAGTAGTTTCAGAGTTTACTCTGTACAAAGATTTTCATTTCACATTTATATAGTTAGATAATATCTGCTAGTACTTACGTACTATGGACACTGACAGAAAATTTTTGGAAAAAAAATCTTAGGAACAAAGATAATATGTATAGGTACCTATAAATAATTATGTAATTAATAATATCACAACGTATTGACTATAATATGTAGCAATACAAATAATTATTAAATTAAAGGGATTCGATACTGGCTGTTTTCTATCAAACCTATATAGAATCACACTATATAGTTTATGGTACTTATACTCGTATTTATAGTACCACATCAAATTAATTCCCATTTCCTTAGAAATGGGGGAAAGGGTGAGTTGTATATGTATAATTTGTAGAATATTTTCACTCCTCTGAGAGGTTGTTAATAACCCACCCCTTGAAGTTGGTACCAATCCCCGTAAATATTAATATAAAATATCAATAAATCAGGATTGGTAATATTTGCGTATAAAATGTTTTATACATTGTATGTTTAATACCTCACTTATTAAACATTATATTGACTAAGACTTAATTTTTTTTTTTTATTTTATAAAATTTATTATAATAGTCATAATATTGTACATTTTAAATTGTAGTAGGTATTTAAACTCATAAATTAATATAACAAATTAAAAAATCACATCAACTTGGTGAATTTTCTTAAATTTAGAATGAAATAAAAACAACAAATTATTTTTTGTTATTATAAATATTAATGTAGTTATTAATAAAGAATAAAGATAAACTTAGTAATAATTATAACAAATTATCATATATATCTTAGGTAATTAATATAAAATAAAAAAATAATAATTAAATTAAATTGACAATTATTTTACCTGATCATTTTTGTTCAATTGCAGCATAAAAATAAAAAAAATGTATACAGTGTAAACATATACAACTTATAGCTTTATACCGTTTTATACATATATATAATACATGTTTTATACTTTACTTTATTACACATTCCAACTTTGCATTAAATACATAGGTAGTTTAATAACAATAATATTTAAGTGATCAACAATACCTGTTTGTAAAATATATAGCTAACAATTTTCCTTAATAAAATATAATTTATTTATTTTATATTAATATTTTTTTTTAAATAAATAATTATAAATTGTGTGTTTTGCTTACCTTTTTAGAACAACAAATTGTTTACTGATTATACAGACAAATTATTGTTTATGTTATGTTATATATTTAATACATGATAACTTATTAAAGATTAAACAAATAATTTATTTTATTTATTTATCGTATGGCATATTTTGACACATAATATACATAAAAAGTTGTAACATGAAATAAAAAAAACAAAACATAAAAATAATAGAATAAAATAAAATAATCCATATAAAAATGATAATAATATAACAATATCTATTGTGTAGTTCAATATTTTCTCTACAGTCTGATGTCCAAGGTAGCTATCCAATCAAGAGCTTCACTTGTTAATCTAAAGAAATCACTCATTTTACCTTCGAATTTTTTTTTAGGATAGCCTGACACAATGTGTTGTATTGTCTGAGCCGCATTTCCACAATCACAAGCAGGATTATCTCGAAGCTTCCACTGGTGCATAGAATAACCACACCTTCCATGACCGGTTCTGATACTGTTTAAAGATACCCACTCTTGACGGGGTAGTTTGAAACCCTCCAGAGGTTGTGTAGGGCCAACGACTAAGTCAGCATTCTCTAGTGTAAGATTATTCCATGCAGTACGCCATTCCGTGGTTGAATTAAAGTTTGTCAGAATAAGGTGTTGAGCAGTGATCCAAGGGGGTTTTCTAGATTTCAGACATACTTGTGGGGTGTTGCACAGCATTTGTGATAACATAGAATTGTTTAGCGGATCTTGTTTTAAAATTAATCTAACCAGAGCTTGGTTTCTTCTAACATCGGGG